ACCTAAAGCAGCCATAGAATACCTTCTCACTTTTTCCTGCTTGTCCCTCAGACCATCGGCTAGTGCACCTAAAATTCCAGAATGTGCCAAATCATCTTCTATAAAAGTAGAATGCCGAATCAACAAGCCAATAAGTGAAGCAAGTTGAACAAGAAAAGCTGAAGCTTTGGACTGCCTAATCATCTTTACAAGCATGAGCATCATTGGTCCATTGGTCAAGGTATCAACTGAAAGAATTGTACGCCCTACAAAGCCATCATTAGTATTTATTTATTTACTTGCATATTTCTTTTGGGTGATTCAATAAATGTTATTATCTTTACATCATACATTAATTAAATTGATTATAGGGATGATCAAATAAAAGGTTTGATGATCTTAAATTGTTCACAACCATAAGCATACTTTGGATAATATGCTTAATTTGGTTGTCACATGTTGTACTACCATAAGTGATAAAGTGGTAAATTTCAACCACTAGAGTGAAATTCTTAGTAACATAGTGAATATTTGTATAAGACAAATATTAAACTGAACCATATAGAATAATCTTAAGTTATTTACTGTTAAATAAAAAATTATTCTATCCACAATTCATAAAAAGTCCTTAGACCTGAAAATGTTATTTAATCTTATCTATAAATTATTTAGTTTTAATATTGTCATCCGATGATGCCCAATAAATGGGATATGTCCGAACATATTAGATTATATAATAAGTACATGAAGATTTATAGTAATCTAATAAGAAACCACCACTCTTATTATAAGAGAGAATATTCAAGTTTGTGTCTCTTTTATATTAAACAAAAATCCAACCGATCAATTTAAATAAATATTTTAACCTAGTTTTAGAAAATTAAATTGTATCAAAAAAATTTATTTTCTAAAATTTATTTTCTAAATAGTTTTATTATCTAAATATATTTAAGAGACACACATGCAAAATTTTAAATGACAATTTTATAAGAATTCTAATTCGATTAGATTTTGTATGAAATATTAGTTGATGGGGACTATTATGTAAATATTGTGGTTTGAGAAATCTCACAATTTTATCTGTAATTTCTTAAATAAGATTGTTATCTACTGATAGGTTTTTTTATTACAATCCTAAATTGATTTAAATTCAATTTGCTAAGAGATTAAGATCCCAAAAAGAAGTCCCACGCAACATGCTATTTGTAATTCTAGTCTAACCATACAAGCTCTCTATATATAAAACCTATTGATTTGTCGATATGGTATTTAAGTTTTTACAAAGAAAAACAAAAACTAGTGGAACGAGAAGCCATCACTTATTTAGGAGACAGAATTGAAACATTGCGTGTGAACTTTTAGAGGATTTTGTGCGTATGAAATCTCTATGAGTTTTTCTAATTTTTACATGAACTATTTGTATCATGAGGACTAATAATTTGTTTATAATTCTTAATTTGATTAAGTGTATTGTAAACCCTTCATCAGCTGCATTGGGATTATTGCTAAGCATCTCAAGGTATTTAATCAGATTCTGCTTCTCCCCTACACTGCTATTTCCATTAAAGATGCCAATGACTCTATTGTTGAACGCATCTAGCTGCTCTTTTGACATCTTAATGAAGTCAGACAGTTGTAGTGCCTCAAATGGCAGTGAAGGAATTAACTCTGATGCTTTATCAGCTTTTCTGCTTGGCA